CGCTCCGCCGGGGCCGCACGGGGGGCGAGCGGTCTGCGGGATATCGAGTGTTGTGTCTTTCTCTTTCAGGTTTCCTGTGTTGACGCGCGTGACCCAAAGCGAGAGTTGTTTTTGTCGCCTCTTCCTCTTGATAAGAGCCGTGAAGATGGTGAATGTTCTGAAGGGTGTCCTGATTGAGTGGTGAGTGATCATCTAGTCCCAACCCCCTGCCCTGGGCAGGGACACCTCCCCACTAGACCAGGTTGCTCAAGGCTTCATCCAACCTGGCTTTGAACACTGCCAGGGTTGGGGCAGCCACTACCTCCTTGGGCAACCTGTAATGTTTTCCATTAGATGTTCCCTCTTGTTCTTTGTATTGCTTGCAGATGAAGTTCTTGCTGTTGTTGTTTGTGAACAATGTGTTTCTCTACTGATTCTTGAGGGAGATGAGATAATCTTTCATCCTTTCTCTCCTTTCTTCCTCAACTCTAGACTGAATTCTATTCAAGGCTGACATTCAGTTCTGTTTGTAGACAATACTCCAAAGGAACGTGCTTGTCGCTTGTAAATGGAAGCTTTTGATGTGTGTGCAATAAACATGTTCCCATACATTCTGGTCACTAGGCTTAGAATCAGAAAACTGGTTATTTCCAAAGTAAAAAGAAGCATCACTCAAGATTTGTGGGGTCATTGCATTACATGACATATATGGTTTCTCCTCTATACTGAGGTTGTAAACATGTTAACAGATTTTTAACTGCACAAAAGCAGAACCTTGAACCTCTTATGATTGGATATAGCTTGCATACAGCTGTGGTCTTGCAGCAGGTAACTTCTGAGCTGCCTGGGTGTTGGACAGCTGAAGTCTGGATGCCTACTGGCTATGCGTGAGCAGTACAGAGCCTAAACTCTGCTCTAACAAAAAGCCTTTCTCCTCAAGTTTGACTCCATGCTAGTAAATCAACAAACCTGATGCACAGGAAATTACCTGCCTGTGGCTGACTATGTAGATATCCAGAGTAGAATCCTTAACTCACAAGGCAAGAAGTTCTAAAATCTCAAGCACTTGGCAAAATATGGCATTTTGCACCTTTTGTGTTTATTTCACACATAGTTAAAGATCTGTGTGGTTTTATTCAGCTCTGTGGACATGTCTCACTTAGTATGAGTATGAAACTTCATCATTCTCCCTGGAATGGGATTTTCTCTCTAATGAGAAATCCACAGCATTTGTTATGTCATCAGATGTTTTCAAGAGCTCCCTGGGAAACTGATTTTCGAGTTGGTTGTTCTAGCTCTTGGTGGTTTGGGTTTGTTTTCTCCCCATCTTTACACAAGAGTAGCCTATGATTGGGCACAAAATTCCATCCTAGGAGAATATGCAGGATTGCTATAAATTTGACCCCTTATTTGCACTTAAATACAAGTGTTTTACAGCCCAGTTTTCTGAGGATGTTTCAGATAACAAATGGACAGGGAGTAGAAAAAAATAGACACTTCTGAGTGGATAAATCATGCAAATAAAATAGCAAAATGTTGTACCTGTCTTATTTTTCTTTTCCCTATACTGTGCCAATAAATAGCTAAACTTTTCTGAAGACACTATAGCAAAGATTATAATCTTAAAGTAGTGTAATGAGGTCAGTGTTTCTGCTGCAACATATATCTACTGGCACTGATCACAGTTCGTGTGTTGAACTGGTTCCCTGTGGGAACCTGTCTCTGGGTACTGGCTAACACTATGCACACTGGTCATACCAGCTGGGACTGAAGCTTGTGCCATGTGAGTCACTGAAGTACAGCTGAATATAACAAAATAAACCTTGCACCCATTCAAAGGGGGATGTGGAAGAATGCTGGGAACCACATACTTCTGGTGTCTGATTATTCTCAACTCTTCTGTTTGTCTTTTGTTTCTCTTAAATCCTAGGGCACATAAAACTCTTCAAAAGAATCTCTAGCTATCCCATCCTCCTTTCTTCAAAATTACTTTGTAACTTGAAAGCTCATCTTGCTTTAGTCATGTTTCTGCAGGTTTGAGGCTAATATCAAAGGCTGTTTTTTGAGTTACTGGGTAGGGAGCAGGGGAAGCATTTGGTCTCATGATGCACTATATATGCTTTTAGGTAAAGGAGAAATAGTCCTCATAGTGCATTTAAAAGAGTAGGTGAACCAACAAGTTCTTTTAAGATTTACTATGTTACTAAGAAATCTTTTTAAGAATTACTATGTTCATCACTTTGAAAATGTCCTGACCTACTTGATTGCAAAATTCTGTATTTCTTGCATGTATTCTTCACCAGTTGTTGCAATCAAATACTGAGTTTTAACAAAGAGCATGTTTTTTCCTGATTTGTAAAAACTAATACCAGAATAATATTGTCTGAATTCTTTAAAATTCCTGTGGTTGAAAGAGCTATTTTGAAGCCACTTTATGCAGCTGTTGCTCTTGATTTCCATACTTCCAAAATGTTTCCTTCTAAATATTACAGTTTCACTTAGAAGGTGACACCACGAGTGTTCAGTGAGGGTGTGAGAAATGTACAATTCATACATGACCACTTTTCCTCCATGCTGTACTACCTTGAGTGAGATGTCTGCTCTCCTGGGGCTGGTTATCCTTAAACAAAAATATGCCTTAAGAAAGCATGTGTTTGTGGTGCTGTTGCTGAAGACAGAAATGGAAGTTCAAACTTGCCATATTAAGGGTTGGGGTTTTGGTTGGGTTTTTTTAAGCTACTTTAACAGCAGCAGAAGGGCACTTCTCTGCTCATCAAGCAGCTGATTCTACTTGCTAGACTTTGTCAGGGCTTTACTTTTGTCTCTAGAGTAACCCAAGCAATTATTACAACTTTTTCAAAAACTTCATAAACTAAGTTGTGAGCCACTCTTGAAATTAATATTAATTTCCTTGAAATCTTTGGGAGTGTTTTCAAGTGGTGTGTTTTCTCTTTGTTTTTAACTGCATCTTACTACAGTGGCGTGGGATCTGATGTGTGTTTTTCTCTACAGTGACCCAGCAATGAAGCAGTTTCTGCTCTACTTGGATGAGTCAAATGCCTTGGGAAAGAAGTTCATCATACAAGACCTGGATGAAACTCATGTCTTTGTATTAGCTGAGTTGGTTAACTTCCTCCAGGAGAGAGTGGGCGAGTTAATGGACCAGAACTCTTTTCCTATTACTCAGAAGTGAAGAGACTAGAGAAATGAGATTACTGCACGTTCTGGAACAGTGAATTTCAATAGCTTGGGTTGTTCCTGTTTTCATAGATACACTGTGGTTAGTAAGTTCTACATAGAAGTGGCTACTCTAGAAAATGCATCATTTTCATAGACAAAATACTCTGAAATTGGATTTAGTTTCTCATTTTGAAAGATTGTGGTATCTTTATTAAAATCCTTAAAATTATATGCTTGAGGACTTGCCTAGAGACTTTTTGATGCATGCTCTCTGTTTTTCCTTTAGGGGTTTTATCTTGCAAGATTGTACAACCCAAAAATTAGTGTTTGTGCATTGCAATGCTGTATGAACTCCTCTGATATGTTATGTTCCCGTGGAGTTGATTGAATCTGATTAAAGTGTGACTGATGGAAAGTAAAGAATGTCTGTTGAAGTATGATCAGTGCTTGATGGAACATGTCAAGGAGTTGAAGGCATGCTCAGATACTGCTTTAACTTAATGGGTTTTATACACCAAAATGAAAGTTGGTATGAGTGTTTTATGTTGTGGATTTTTTTGTGTTGTTTTTTGAGTTCTGGGTTTGGGGAGTGGTGGTGGGAATCTAAGAGTTTGGAGGGGAAGGAGGGATATGGGGAATGGGAACAACAAAATCCATTACCTTAGATCATCACAAATTAAAGGGGTAACAGAAATGGGAGACCAATCCTACAGGTATAACTGCTTGTATTGTTTCACTGAAACTAATACTTAGTTCCAGTAAGCTACCTGATCAGGAAGAGGAGAGAGACTCATGCTCTACTTGCAAAGAAGAAAGCTAGTTTCAAATTTTTCAGGGTGTTGGGTTTTTGCCTTTTTCTTGAGCTTAGTTCTTTCTCCCCTATTGTTCCTTGCTGCAAAGAAATACCGTCATAGTTTCATAGTTTGGTTTGGTTTTTTACACACTGTATTTGTAGCTCTAGCTCAGACACTGGCTTATTTAGGAAGTCAACTAGTGCATGATGCTAAACCCTGTGAAGATTTCTGAAACATACAAATTAGAGAAACAAAAAGAATACCAGGTATTACCTTGTCTCTTATCCTACTTCCTACTAAAACCAGTCAAAATTACTGGATCTGTAAGTAATCATTTATAAACAAACGACTTCCAGGATATTACATCAAAGGGAAGCTTGGTTTTCAGGGCTGCTCGTGTACCTCAGATAGATGCCACCTTTTTCTGTGGGGGGAAAAAACCAAGTATGAATAGAGAGGGTTTTATAAGGAACAGTTTTACTTACTGAGTCTTCCACTGATGCTTGTCTGTCTTATCCAGTAGGTATCAGATTAGTTGGTGGGTTTGTTTTTGTTGTTTGGGTTGTTTGTTGGGGTTCCCCCACCCCTCCCCTTGGGAATAGGGAAGCTTCAGGACAAAGTTTCACTAGATGTTTTTAATCAAAAAGCTGTCCAAAGAAAGTTCTGTAGAATTGCATATATTCAGACTCATGTGGATGAGCAAATAGCCCTGTAGAACTGGTATCATCATATGTGGTCTAAGGAACTAAGATATTTGTAATTCCTAGGGAAAAAAGGGTCTTGAATCACATAGTATGGTGAAGGAAATCCAATGTGGACACTTTTAGAACTTCAGTATGTATATGACTTACAAAACCAAACCAAACAAACAAAACCACCCAAGGGTTTCTGGGATTTGAACTTGGACTCCTGAAAGGTTGTGTTTGTTTTTAAATACATTTAATCCTGGAACTTACATACTTTTAT